CGAGAACAATTATTGAATCAAGAACACGAAAATGAATATTGTCTACATAAATCATATGTGATTAGATACATATAATCACATATGATTATATGTATCTAATCACATATGATTTATGTGGCTAAGATTCATTTTTGCGTATCTAATCATATGTGATTAGATACATATAACCACATGTGATTATATACACGATAACAAACATTGAATCAAGAACGCGAAAACAAATCTTTATCCGCATTCAACATATGTGATTAAATACATCTAATCACATGTGATTATTTGGATCTAATCACATATGATTTATGTGGACACAATTCATTTTCGCTTTGTCGGTTCAATAGTTGTTCTCATGTACTTTATCACATGTGATTATATGTATAATCAAATGTGATTAAGTACATGAGCACAACTATTGAATCGAGAAGGCAAAAATAAATTTTGTCCACCTCAAATCATATGTGATTATATATAAATATAATTACATGTGATTAAATACACAAAACCAATTATTCAATCGAAACCGCAAAAATAAATATTATCTACATAAATCATATATGATTAAATACATATAATCACATGTGATTATATGTATCTAATCACATATGATTTATGTGGATAAGATTCATTATCACATTCTCGATTTAGTAATTGTTCTTTGTCAACTTTAATCATATGTGATTAAATACATCTAATCAAATGTGATTATATGTATCTAATCACATCTGATTTATATGGACAAAAAAGAATGATGTCACTATAAATCATATGTGATTAGATACATATAATTACATATGATTATATACACGAGAACAACTATTGAATCGAGAACACAAATATAAATATTGTCCACATATATCATATGTGATTAAATACATATAATCACATGTGATTATGTGTATCTAATCACATAGACTTTATATGGAAAATATTTTCGCGTTCTCGATTCAGTTGTTGTTCTTTTGTATTTAATTACATGATATTATATGTATCTAACTAGATATGATTTATATGGACAATATTCGCTTTCAGAATATCGTTAAATAGTTGTTCTTTTACATTTAGTCACATATGATTTATGTACACAAGATTCATTTTCGTGTTTCCGATTCAATAGTTTTTCTTTTTCCACATTAATCATATGTGATTAAATACATACAATCACATATGATTAAATACGTGAGATAAAATATTGAATAAAAAATGCGAAAACGAATATTATCAATATAAATCATATGTGATTTGATACATATAATCACATATGATTATATACATGAGTAGGTACATATAATCACATGTTATTATATGTATTTAATCATATATGATTTATGTGGACAATATTCATTTTTGTGTTTTTAGTTCAATAGTTGGTCTCGTGTATTTAATCACATGTGATTATATGTTTTTAATCACATATGATTTATGTGAAAAAAGATTTGTTTTCATGTTCTTGATTCAATAGGTGTTCTCGTGTATATAATCACATATGATTAACATGGATAAGATTCGTTTTCGTGTTTTTTGTTCAATAGTTATTCTCATATAATGAATCATATGTGACTGTATGTATTTAATCACATATGATTAGTGTGCATAAGATTCATTTAATTGCCCATACAAATCATATGTGATTACATACATATAATAACATGGTGGATTGTGGGTGGTGGTGGTAGGTTATAGGATAGGGTGGTGGTGGTGGTGGTGAGTTGTGGGGTGTAGTGATGGACGGTGGTGGTGTTTAGTGGGATGTAATAAGTGATAAATGATTGTGGTGTTTGGTGGGTGTTATTAGGTGGTAAGTAGTGGTGGTGGTGGGTAATGGGATGGTATTGGTGGTAGTGTGTAATGATATTTGGTGGTGGAGGTGAAGGGTGGTGGGGGAGACATCTAGGGTGGTGGGTGGTGGTAGGGATGGTGATTAAAGTGGGTGGTGGGTGGCGGTGACGGGTAGTGGTGATGGTTGGTGATGGTGGTGGTGTATGTTGGTTTTGGTGGGTGATCGGTAGGATGGTGATGATGGGTGGTGGAGGTGGGTAGTGGTGATGGGTGGTGGTCGGTAGTGATGATGGTAGGTGGTGGTTCTCTTAGTGGGTGGTGGGTGGGGTTGTTGTAGTGGGTGGTGGTGATGTGTGGTGGAGACGGGTGGTAGTGATGGGTGATGGTGGTGGGTGGTGGTCATAATTGTGGGTGATAGGTTGTGGAAGTGGGTGGGTGGTGGGGGTGGTGGTGATGGTGGTGGTGGGTGGTGGTTTTGGTGGGTGGTGAGTGGGGGTGATGGTGGCGGTGGTGATGGGTGATGGTGGTGGGTGATGGTGATGGAAGGTGGAGGCGGGTGGTGGTGATGGGTGGTGGGTGGGTGGTAGTGATGGGTGGTGGTGGTGGTGATGGTGGTGGGTGGGGTTGGTGGTGGCGGGTGGTAGTGATGGGTGGTGGTGGTGGATGGTGGTCGTGGTTGGCGGTGGCGAATGGTGGGGATGGTGTTGGGTGGTGGTTTTCGTGGGTGGTAGGTGGGGGTGGTGGTGATGGGTGGTGGAGGTGGGTGGCGATGACAGGTGGTGGTGATGGATGATGTTGTTTGGGTGGTGAGTGGTGTTGGTTAGTAAGTTTTTTATTTTTTTTTACTTATTTTTTATTTATATTAATATTATTTGATGATTTTAATTTAAAAAAATTATGTGGTCCAAATTTGTTCTCAAATATTTTCGCATTAACAAATTTTCTTGATTGAACGCTTATATATATATATATATATCTATATCTATATATCTATAATAGAGCGAGAGAGAGAGAGTGAGGTTCAAGAGCGACCCTAATTAACCAAGGAACCAAGGAAGCAATCTTTTTTTCACTTTTAGAACTTATTTTTTATCAAAAAAAAAAACTAAAAATACAGAAATTCATAACTTTTTATCCTTTTTCCAATGATATCAAATACGATTTTTTTTTACGTCAAATTCACAATGTGAATCTTTGAAAATTCACAATGTGAATTCGGATTCACACGGTGAATTCGAAAAATATTTTTCACATTCACAATGTTAATATATGAATTTAAATATTTTTAGATTTTTTTTCGATAAAGAATAAGCTCTAGAAATTAAAAAAAAGATTTGGTTCCTTGAAGAACCAATAATTATGGTTCTCTATTGAACTTTTCTATATATATATATATATATATATATATATATATATATATTCTATATATATATATCTATATATATCACAATAAAAAAAAATATTTTTATTTTAAAAATAATAAGAGAACTAATATCTATATCTGATAGATGTGCTAAATACTTAAATATAAAATCCAAATTAAAGCAACCAAAAATGCATTTGTGCGACTTCGGTTGTATGAGATCGGCTATTTTTGTCTTAACTTTTTTTTTTTTTTTTTTTGGGTGTTTTTTTGTGTGTTCTCTTATTCGGATTTCGTTAGCCTAGAACCGTTGAAATCACCAATAAGAATTGTTTAAATAATATTTTATAAATATGTAACATAATTTTTTTAATTATTGATTTGAAGTATTGTTTTCCGAATCCGTTAAAAATATATTTTTATGTGTAATTTATACAAAATGAAAAGAATCTTAAAAGGGAAGGGTAGAATATATAATTAAAGCACCGGATACCCGTTAAAACACTTATAAAATGGACCCTTGTGTTATTATCACGTCCCCTATATCTTTGCTCCAATACCAAAAAGGTCGCCAAAATTCCCATTAAATGGAGGTCCACATGCTATGCAATTTCCACTCTTTCAATAATTGCAATTCAACCCATTAAATATATACAGAGAATAATGTATACAGATGTGAATACACATTTATAACATAAAATTAAAAATATTGTAAGACGAACGTCCAAAATACTGTCTATTTTTAGAAAAGCGTCTAACTTAAAGCAAAGAGAAGAAGTTTTTGTTGAATTTTATGATATGATTTTTCCCATCAATCTAAAAATAATCAATCAATATCAAATCTAAATCCAAATAAACCTTAAACTAGTTAGAAGATTGGTAGAATGTCTAGATACGACAATGACCAATAAATTGCCAAAATTAGGCATAACTTTAATTGAAAAACGAAAAAAAAAAAAAGACATTCGTGTAGTAAGAAGCACATGAAATTAGATACATCCATTACCAAATTGAAAACCAACCTTCAAGTACACTTTACATTTAATCAAAGAACATTTTAGACTTTTTGTATATGTAATGACAAAATCGTATGCATCTTGATACAACAAACGAATATTACATGTTCGTGTTTTGCACAAAAAATTTAAGAATTTTTAGCTTTTAAATTTTAAGAAAATTAAAAAGGAAAAATTTTGTTTGATACCGTGAGTTTTTTACTCTTATTTTTGGAAAAAAAAAACCCCTGAATTTAAAAGCTGTTTTAAGTAGTTTTTCAACGTTTTAACCATTTATGTTTAATTAATTTTACACATTTAAATCTACTAACTATTTTTTTTTCAAATATTTGATAAATAAAAAATACAGTTTCCAATTTCAAAACATAGATGGTGTTAGGTGTTAGATTATGAGTAGATTTTATATATTTGTATTTACCGGTTAAAAAAAAAATCATGTTTTATATTTTTATTATTTTTGTTTTTGTTTTTATAAAAAGGGAAATAAATTGTCTCGTGCAACTTTTATCCAACTTGCATCAATTTTTAGCAAAAAGGTCAAACAAAAATCATGCCTCGTCATCCAGCCGTCTAAATTGTTTCCACCCTACATCTACATCCGTCGTCTATTATCCATGCCACGTAACCAGTTTCTTATCAATAAACAAACGGCTACAATTCATCCACGTGTCGCCGTTGATGCGTTATTACACCCTCGATCCAACGGACCGCTGTACTCGTTTCCGCAGCTCTCAAATTCTCCACACTTTCGCCTGCACCCCCAACATCCCCGGAGCTCCGGCAGTCTCTGTCTCTTCTAGAGCCGGAGATCTACTTCGCGCCAAATTAATTCGAATAATTCAACGGCTATGGCGGACTCGGATAACGAATCTGGAGGACACAACGCGGGCGGTGATTTGTCGGCGAGAGAGCAAGACAGGTTTCTTCCGATTGCTAACGTGAGTCGGATCATGAAGAAGGCGCTGCCGGCGAACGCAAAGATCTCCAAGGATGCGAAGGAGACAGTGCAGGAGTGCGTGTCGGAGTTCATCAGCTTCATAACCGGCGAGGCGTCGGATAAGTGCCAGAGGGAGAAGAGGAAGACGATTAACGGCGACGATTTGCTATGGGCGATGACGACGTTAGGGTTTGAGGAGTACGTTGAGCCTCTGAAGGTGTACTTAGCGAAGTACAGGGAATTGGAAGGGGAGAAGACGACGATGGGAAGGCCAGGGGAGAAGGACGGTTCATCTGGAGGAGGTGTTGATGCTGCAGTAGGCGGCGGAGGTAGTGGCGGAGGAGTTAATTCCGGTGGATATAACGGGATGTACGGAGGGACAGGGTATCATCAAATGTACAATTCGGGTCAGTATCAACAAACGGGTATGGGTATGGGTATGGGCGTTGGAGTGGGTAGTCCAACGGGTAGCCTGGGCAGATCGGGCAGCATTGGCAGGGGCGGTGGCGCTTCCTCTTTGAAGCCAGGTCGGTAAAGTGGGTTAGTTATGAAAAATTAAATTAAATAAAAAGCAAAAGAAAATTAAAAAGAAAGCGAAAAGAAAAAAAATAATTTCCCACTTTTTTTTTATTACTTTTTGCTAATTGGGTTATTTTTCTGATTAATTATTGACATGTGAATTTTTAAGCTTGGTATTAGGTTTTGTATTTTTCATTTGTAATATTAAATTCAGTTTACGACTGTTTTTTTATTTTAATTTTGAATATAGATTGGAAATCGAGAACTTGTTGTATGTAACTATCTATTGTGTAGCAATAAAATATAATTGTATTTATTGTAAACTATAGATGACAATGATTTATAAATTTTATTTTTAATCTTTTAAATACTTTTTAGACATGAAATAATAGTGTAACATTTTAATTTTTTAACAGACCTTGTAATTTTGGAAACTATAAATGCAATAAATGGTATGGTCAATTATTTTGTAAACTGCTATAACATGCTTTCTCTTAATGAAGAAAAAAGCAAAAGAATAATACAATCCATGAATACATGTGGGTAAAAAAAATCTTGAAAATATGCGTTTTGTATGGTTGATTGAGCTGTTTTTCCATGCCCGGTTCAAACCGATTTAAGATCCGATGCAAAACAAATATAAACCCCTTTAAAATACATAAATACTAGTTAAATAAATAAAAATGAAGTATAACAAGGTTTAATAATATACCTATACAATTGAAACGGAGCCTATTGGATCTCATTGCAATCTTTTATACATCTATTCAATGTTTTACCCCACTCATTCACAAACATGTCTCAAGCTTTTAGGATCTTGGTCGTACAAATTATTAACTTTTGTATACATGTAGTTTGGACAAATAATGTTTCCCAACAACTTGAGCAATCTAATCATAAACACTATTTCATGTCGTCCCTATTAGTAAAACAAAAACATAATCATATAACCAATTTTGAATACTCAAATTGAATTGCAATTTATACTCCATAAAATGATATAAATAACAATACCTATAACACAAAATCTTGAATCATACCAAATTTGAAACTTTCTTTACTCACCCTTTAATACATTTCTAACTAATAAAAGTTAATTTTTTGAGCAAGTGATCATTCAATAATAATAATAATAATAATAATAATAATAATAACAACTATAATGAAACTATACATACCTATATACTTATAAAATCTAAGTTGAAATAAAACTAAACTTCACAAAGAATCCACACATATTATCTTATGGGGTCTTTCCCATATTGCATCGGTATATTCGACAACTTTCATTCTTTTTCAAAACTAATCTAACTTGAAAAACTTAAATGATAAGAGAATAAAAATTGAATGATTAACATATTAGTTCAAACTCGGAGATGAGATAATAAAGTCATAGAGATCGAGAAATCAATTTCAGTTGACAATTGAACTTTAGAACTTCATATATCTAAAAATCAGTATTTAGAACTTGTAGAACTTCAGAATGAGAAATCGGAACTGGGGCAGAAATGGATTAGCAAATCAATTGACAAGATGGACAATTAAAAATCGGAAAAATAAAAAAGTAAGAGGGACATAATCGCAATCCCATTGGGGGTTCAATTCGGTTTGACCGCTTTGCTCAATCGTTTGAGAAATTACCACCACTGATGCATCAGTTTTTTACGCTTCAATCATCTATGAAACGATCGACATTAATTTTGAGTTCTCAAACTAGTTGGATTGTAAAAGGTCGCACTGATTGCCTCATTCCGATTTTTTCAACTCATGTCTTAACATTAATTAGATGTTTGATTTTGATTAGTTTTTTATAATTAAATATGAATTCTGAAAAATTGTAGTTTTTTAAAAATAATTTCTAACAAAAACAAATTTAAAAGAATAATAATTCAAACTTTTAGTTTTTTTTTTCAGTATATTCGAAAATCTATATATAGTTTGACAATTTCAAACTCGTTTATTTTTATTTTTGCATTGAGTTTCAAACTTGTTTACGATTTTCTAATTTGTTCTTGAGTTTCAAACTATCTACGTATGTTAGAAATATATTAAAATCATACCATAATGAGTAAAAAGGAGAAAAACAATCGATCTTCGGTTTAAAAAAATGATGATTGGAAAGAATACGACTGAGAAAAAATCAGAAGAAAACAAGATTTTTTTTCGAAAATAAGAATATTGTTAGAATATCTCAACTTTTGAAATCATGGTTAGTAATTGAAGTTCTATTTTAAATGGTCATTATTTAATACTGACATAATTTCTTAGAGAATAGGTTTATTGGGTCAATATCCCTTTGTAGGTACATTTCTTTTGTGGATTCTTAGTTTCTATATACTGGATTAATGAATAATGAGTATGTGTCAAAATGTTATAGGAATTCTAGCTTCGTCAGTAAGATAGCATCTTATATATTTTGGGATTCCAGCACATGCTCGTGATTGTACCTTTGTGATCAAGAGAATTGGAACAAAATCTTGAAAGGTAATAAAAGTGCACAAAAAAAGACATTAAAACTTTATCATAAATCATGCATGAGGATACTTGTAAATCATTTTCTTCTTTATTAAATATTAGCTTAAACTGATTTGTATATTTGGCACTAAGTTGCTTAACAAACACATTGTTTTCTGTCAGTAATACATTTTTACTTTAAAGTAACTGTATTGAAAAAAAATCCAAAAATGATTCTTAAATTGTAGCACCATAAATGTTAGAGAAAATAACAAATATAACTTAATATCTTAATCATTTAATAACAAAAAAATTAAGAAATGACCAAAATAAATTAACAAAATCATAGGTGGGCATTTATGGGCAGCTATTTCGGCTAATGGGTTAGTTTCGTAAGATCACTTAGGATTTCGTCATTGATATAAAAAGTTTAGGATTTTGCCCTTGTGGAAATCATAAATGACATGTGGCCAACTACGATTCTCTCTCTTAAATTGCAATTTAATGTTTTTTCCCTCTTAAATCCTAACATTTTGACTACACTCATAAATTTTAACTGTGATTTCTTACACTTTAACTAAGAAAAATACATAGAAGGGGAATTAAGAGTGTGGACAAGAATTGCAGCTATTGTGGTGTTATAGAAGAGACTATCCATCATTTATTATGTGGATGTCCTGCAACATGTTCCATAATGGATTGGGTGTTTAGGTGGTGTGGAATTCAACATTCCAGCTTCTCGTGCGTTTCTGAGGTTCTGGACTTTGTCTCTAGCTGGGGAACCTATCTAAAGAGAAGGAGGATGTTAATTAGCATTTGCTATGACATGTTTTGGTGTATATGGAGAGCTCGTAATGACATGGTGTTCAACAACATAGAAAACCATTCCAGAAAAAGTGTCGGATATCATTAAATTCACAGTGTATTATATGGTTTAAACATAGGAGAAAGAAAGGTGATTATATCTGGATTGATTGGATTGTTTGCCCTTTCTCTTGCATTTGAAAGGGCTGTTTTTCTTCTTCTTTTTCCTTTTTTTGTAATCTTTCTTGTGGGTTGTTGCCTAGCTCCTTGTTAGGCTGACCCTCTTTTATGTTAATATATTTGCCGGTTCAAAAAAAAACTAAGAAAAATACATAAAAATATTATAACATATATTTTTATCTATATAATAACGAGGAAACCAAATTTAGAGTTTTTCAATTTGATTTTAACCAAAAAAAACTATTGAGTTCTAGTAAAACATTTTCGTTGTCATTTGCATCGGTGGGAAGTTGGGGAATATTGATGATCAACAAAGATATATTAGGCCTTTAGTAACGAATTACAAATATTTTTTCTTTTTCTTTTTTTTTGCAAATATTAATTTTATTGGTTTTTTTATATTTTGTGGAAAAGAAGATCAGTTTGCTAGCTAAATTAGATATCAGTTTTGTATTTCCAAGATCATGAAATGTTTTATGTTATAGACATAGTTGATGATAGTAATGAAGGGTCAATAACCCCCAGCTATCATAACGGAAGGAAGCCACCTGTCCCACAATGCGCTCACTCTTCTGATGCTCTTTCTTCATAGCCTCAATATGAGCCTCTCGAATCTGCTCTAATAATGGGGTAATCACTTTCATCATCAAACATAAATCCCTGAATGGAGTCGTGACCGCCTTGTAGCTGAGAGCATCAACCACCACATTGGCCTTCCCCCAGGTGATAAAGGATCTCACAATCATAATCATTCACCACATCCAACCATCTGCGCTGCCTCATGTTTAGATTTGGCTGATCCATCAAATACCTTAAGCTCTTATGATCCGTGTAGATAGTACAGTGGACCCCATAGAGGTAATGTCACCAAATCTTTAGGACAAATACCACTGTCCCCAACTCCAAATCGTGCGTAGGATAATTTGCCTCATGAGGCTTCAGCTGCCTCGAAGCGTAAGCAATCACGTGACCCCGCTGCATCAATACTGCACCCAACCCAGTGATCGACGCATCACAATATACCACAAAGTCCTTAACGCCCTCAGACAGGGTCAAAATCGGTGCTTCACACAATCTCTGCCTCAAGGTCTCAAAAGTTGTCTGGTGCTCAAGCCCCTAGCGGAAAGTGATAGTCTTTTTCGTCAATCGGGTCAAAGGAACCGCTATCTTAGAGAAATCCTGAATGAATCTTCGATAGTAACCCGCCAATCCAAAAAAAACTCTGAATCTCAGATGGAGACCTCGGAACCTCCCATCTCATCACCGCCTCGACCTTGGCCGGATCGACCAGAATATCGTTCTGGTTGACAAGGTGTCCCAGAAACTGCACCTCACGCAACCAAAACTCGCACTTGGAGAACTTCGCATACAACCTCTCCTTCCTCAAAGTCTCCAATACCTCCCTCAGATGCTCCTCATGCTGCTCCTCGGTCTTAGAATAGACCAGGATATCATCAATAAACACAATCACGAACCAATGCAACATGGGCCTGCATACGTGATTCATGAGGTCCATGAATGCGGCTGGAGCATTAGTGAGCCCGAAGGGCATCACCACAAACTCGTAATGACCATAAC